AATTATATTTTTTTATTTTTATAACATGGTGGTCTTTAACATAAATTTTGGAATATTAATTTAAAGATAGGGTTCATACAATGAGGCCATTTGAAATCTTTCTCTCTCTACTAACAGTCTCTTCCATTAAATTTATTTTAGAAACTTAAAAAATTATATTTTTGAAAGTTAAAGTGTTATTTCCAAAATTGATATGCATTATAACAATTTTTACATTGATAACCAAATCTTTTATTTTTTTATTAATTTATTTGCATTATAAATTATGTAATGTGTTATTTTTTCTTACAGGTGTCAATAATATATTTTAAATTAAATGATATTATAAGATAATTTGGATTTGTTAATATTTGTATAATAAAATAATTATAAAATATAAACCAACAATTTCAATTTCAGTATATAATTTGATAGTTAGCTAGGTTGTAATAATTTTAGATTATACTTAGTTAGGTTGTAATAATTTGGGTTTTTTTTAGTAGAATAGGGTTTTCTGCCAATTCGAGATTTTGGTAGCCATTTTTTCATTGATTTAATTCATTCTTTATTGTAGTCCATGGATGATTATATACTTCATCCATGATAATTCTATGATTTTTCTTTTGTGTGATGTAAATTTAATGGTTAACATAAGTTCATACAGGGAAAGAACATCTAAATATTCGCATATTGATGAACAAAATGAAAGTTAATAATATAATACCCCCATTTCTTATTTGATTATTAAAAAACAACATTTATAATAAATTTGAATAATTTTTTTGGATTTTATTTAAGACTTAATCCGACCGATTCAATTGATTTCCGATCCAGATCGCCGTTTCACTGATCCAGATGGGTTTTTGTGATGCCCGATCCGGGGCATCGATCCGTTTTTTAAACCACAGGTTCTTATACTTGGTGGCATTATAAATTGGGATTGTAAACTAAGAGATTATTTACGGTTGTTATAAAGTCAAAATTATGCCTAACCATCAAATGTCAAGTTAGATGACTAAAAGCGTATAACAAAGTTTGAGATTTTTTTTTTTTTTAATTTTGAACCTAGGCAATAACACACTCTCGGCCACCTAATTTCAAATCCACCTAAGGACATGAATAAAATTTTATATTTAAAATATAATATTTCTTAGAATAAACAAAGCCAGTATCCAACTTTTGTTGAAAAGAAATACTTTATTAAAATATTTCAAGCTTATCGAGTAGAAAAATTATAATTTAATCATAAATATTTAAAGTACGTATAACTGTAACTAAAATTATATAAGTTCATAGATTCATAATGAGAAGATCCACAAATAAAAAAAATTAACTATGGCATAATTATTATTACACTGCATGGCATGTCAAATACATTGAATTGTGGGGGAATCTGTGTAGTAAGGTGTTGGGAATCTAATACAATTCATCGCATGAAGTTAAATTATCTGAAAACTTAACAGTCATTGACATTATAAAACAGTAAGATATGATAGGTGGGCTTTTGCCTGAAAGAAACCCTGCATATTTCGCAAGAGTGAGAAATGAACTACAAAATTTGCCACTGGTAGTTTCTCATGAATTGCAATTAAATATACAGTAAATAAGTTTGCAATGGCAGTTTCAACAGACATTGCTTTAAGAGTACATTTAGAAACCCAAATCTTAGTGTCTAAGAACTAAAGCCCCAACCTTTTCTTCGAGGAACGGCCATTGCAAACCATGAGCCATTTATTTCAATCCATTAAACAAAATAAAAGAACTTCAATACCATGAACTATCACAATAATGTCTAACAACCATTTGTTTCCTAACGTTGACATCTAAAATGAAGGCTTCCACTAATCTTTCGATCTCTCGTGAAAATGGTGAGGAGCTCTTGCTCATGAGAATCTCACACAATGGTTTTAAAATCGCAGATCCAACTCAAAATCGCTGGAGAATGACTCTGATTTGATGACCTATAATCATCTCAATTATCCAATTTTCTTTGTTAACTGTATATTGATCCAACATGCGATAATCATTTTAGGCACAAATAACTTGGCAACTAGGAACCGGACTCCACATTTCCCATTTTTTAAACAAGCATAGTTTATCTTTAACATGTGTACCACTATTTTGCTAGTTTGAAATGAAAATATTACATAAAATGATACTATGGCTCATGAGAGATACTAAGTAA